TAGCACAACGTTTTTTTTTTTTTGCGAAGATTTGCCAAGAACAATCTCTTCATTGTTTTTAATGATTAGACTAATTATTGTTAGAGTCTTAAGCACATCAATGAATTTTTTTTTAAGAGTAAATACTACATTGTAACAAGCTTCCCAGCGTGTGGCACATACGTTTTTAAAAACAAGTTTCTTACAAACTGTTGGTGTATTATCTTCACCAAGCGTCAATAATGTCCACCTTGGGGCCCTTCCACTAAAAAAGTTAAATATAGCTTGTACAGTTTCAAAAAACCTCATTGTTTTGTCTGAACTCTTAGCTGTGTCACAAACTACTAGATTCAGATATGGGCGCAACAATGAACATACATAGCATTCAGTACAATATCATTCGTTTCTGTACCCCAGTATAAATTCCTTTCATTACACTAGCACCATCATAGCCTTGGCCTTTGCATTTATTTATATCCAAGCTCAAGTTTTGAAGAAGTTTAAGGTGATATTTTCATAATAAACAACGCCGTCATGATATATTTCAAAAAATCAGAGAAATGATTCCTTCATTTTAATTAACTGATTTTCTAAATAGATTAGAGCATAGCGTATTATAACACTAACTTGTTCGATTTTAGTTATATTCTGAGTGGAATCCATGATAATTGCAAAACAAGAACATTACCTGATCTTGTCACAAATTATTCGTTGTAAACTTGATCCCAAAATTCCAACTAATTCATTCTGTATGATTGGGCTCAAATACTTAGTATGATATTCTTTATTATTTAACAATGTTCGTAAAATATGATAAAATTCACCCAATAAATTAACTAAACTGAGAAAATTCCCTTCAGAATATTTTTTACGCTCATTTCCACGTAATGCTGTTTTTTAGCTATGAATGTTAAAATAATTTTTATTATTCTAGTTGAAATATTTCTCCAGAACTTTGCTTTGTTTGAAATTTGATTTTCATTTTCTTTATCAATAGTTTCATTTTTAACCAAACTGCTCTAACTTTTGTTGCTTATAAATGCATCAATGAATTTTGTTCGTGTGTTTTTACCTTTTGTGATAGATGTTGCTAGTCGTTAATACCATCAATCCATTCAGGAGTAAAATTACTATTGAGACAATTAGCGAAAAGCCAACAAAATTCACAATATAATTTGACTAATATAACAGAGTAACATAATCATGTCCTTGGAATAGAACTCTTCATTTTCGTTGACATAAAATAGTAATTTTTAGAAAATCTTATCGTTCAATAAGATTTTCGATCTCGAAATTCAATGTTTGGTCTACATGGGCCGTATAATAAAATGGATCTATTCGTACTATTTGTTACTTCATTGTCGAAATTTCCTTTATCGGTTAGATAAAACTCCAAATTCAATTATGAATTCAAATCGTTTCTTCTTATTAGGGCTTCTTCACACACTGTGTTAAACCAGGGTTTTCTTTTAGGACTCTTTTGTTTTCCAATAACTTCCTCTGATGTTTTCATAATAATGTTTTTTATGTTTTCCCAATGAGCTTCAATGGTATGGGTCTCATTAATACCTGTAAACTGTAGTAGTCTCCCTAATTCAGTTTGAAAAACTTTACATATCTCTTCATTCTTGAGCTTGGTTATTTCATATTTGACATAGTTAGAGCTATCAATCTGTTGTCTTGCCTTTAATTTAGTATATATGGACTTTGACCAATTTCAAAAACTACATGTCTCACACAACTTCTTTCAATAAAGTTATATACCACTTCATTTGTATACATCTGAAAAATTTAAATATTACTTGACTGTCTTTGCCAATAGAATCAACTATTAAACAACGACTATACCAATGCACAAAAAAAGATTTTGAATTTTTCTCCTTGAACTTTGTTTGAACCAGTGGCGTATACAAGGGGGGTGTTTGGTAGATATGACACCCCACTTGAGTCGTATCATATATTACATCAGCGGTTACCAACCTTTTTAGTAGTGCGGACCACCAATTTCGTAGAAAATGTTTGAGACCCACCAATAGTTATATATATATATAATATGCACATACGTCAGTTATTACAATTTATTTATTAAAAAACAATTGTTTATCAAAAAATAGAACTTCATTGAAGTAGATTATTCAAGAGTTAAACAATTTAATGTAATTTTGGATTGTTCCCAATGAGAGAATCAATATTTGGATTAAAAATGAAAAGTTTTAGCCTTAAATCACTCAAAATTCAATTTATTCCTACATTTATTTTTTAAAAAGTAAAAAAAGCTCGTTCACAAAGACACACAGGTTGTCGAAATATAGCCCACCAAATTTCTAAGTAAAATTTTAGAAATTGCTGGAAAGTCTCGCCAAATATTTAAGTATAATGGTAATAATGGTGTAGTTTTAAAAAACGAGTTTAGAGTCTGATCACATTAGAGTTCAATCAACGAATCTTCTTCACTTGCTGATATTTAATATTTTAAAAATATATGTAAGTAATGTTAATAAAATATGGTTCACGGCCCAGTACCACCTGCTCGCGGCTCACTTGTGGGCCGCGGCCCATGGGTTGGGAACCAGTGTATTACATTATTATAGGAATATAGGTAAATCGATAGATAATTCAATATGAAATATAAAATAATGCACAATACTAATTACATATATACAGGTTAACATTATCGCGATTGCGACAATACGTGACGAAAATTATTCGTTTACGTTTTCGTGCAACACAAAACGTTTAATAATAATAGGTATTGTAGCATCGAATAGTCAAATATTCGAATATACATTACATCTCTATTACAGACATTATGTATACATATTAATTAATTAAAATAAAAGTTTTAGTTTGTACGTATTATATATAATATTTAATAATAACAATTAACACCCTCCCCTTCAGAAAATCCTAGCTACGCCACTGGTTTGAACTCCTATTATAATTCCAGTTATAGTTGTGTTACTGCCTAAACAAGTAGAAATAATATTTTCCCATTTTATTTCATATTCTTCAACTTCCTAATTTAAAGCATTAAGTATAAGTTGTATTAATAAAATGGTAAAGATTTGAACTAGGTTAAAAATCCGAACCAGACTTTTGACCCATTTATAGATGTATAAAACTATAAAATATGTTAATACATTTAATAATATATGGGGAGCACGAGCAATAATTAATCCACAGGGGGGGTGGAGCATTTACATACTCTGCCCCCCACCCCCGTAATACTGGCTATGATTATACGAATGATAATAATTAATAATAATAGCGGACAGCAATCGATTATCAATAATTATAACCCGGTAGACGCTTTAAATTTTTTATTTTTATTTTTCGAATTAATTACGAAACACTAATAGTACGTTATTATAAGACCGCAGTAATTAATCAAGTATTGGGGTACATTGTTCTATCGATATCTTTGACCCCACTTGTCTATTCATCGCTCATATGTTGCTATGTTGTTGTCGTCGGAAAACATGTTCAAAACAGACAAATGACAGATATGAACATGACATTGTAGAATTATTATTTCGTGCGATGTACAGATTAACGGTATAGGTACATCAAAGTAATTAATATATCACTGACGTTAACTATATTTCCCTTGCGACGAGTGTAATATGATTCATTCAAATTTTATATCAATCTAAATCACGTTCTCGTATGTGCGCTGTTCACGAATGACTGTTAGTTTTCTAACTGCGTATAACAATAATTCCAATCGAATATATTTTATTTATTCTCAACGATTGAGATACTTTTTCTATAATTCTAGAGTCTACACTTCGCAAACACGCATGTAACGGAATCGTATGTGAATGTGTCACTGCGAAATCAATTTAATTATAAACTTAGTACATGCATGTGCTTCGGTCGATTTGAACATTTATTTTTAAATAGATTTTTAAATTTATATTCATATATCAAGCGACAAGAACAATGGAAATCTTTTGCATGTAGTGTGTATTATATCAATGGTTCCTTAGCTTTTATGATTACAGAACCCTTAGGAAATAATTTGTGTTTCTTGGAACCTCGATGTCTTTAACTTCAATTTAACTCTAATTTTTCAATTATTTATTGAAAAATCAATATTCAAAAAAAAAATAATATTTTTAATAATGTTCATGATTATTGTTTATTATAATTACTACTGCCAATATTCAAATACATCTTGCGGAGCTCTTAAGATTGTCGCACGGAAACCTTGCAAGGTTCTGCGGAAAAAACTTTGTGAATTGCTGTATTATACAATGTTATTCAAAATGATTCTTCCGATTTAAAATAACTATAAAATGGTTACTTATGAATTTTATCTTATCAAATTATGTACCAATTAATAGAGGGTTTTCTTGAATTTTATATTGCCGTTATAGTTTTATTATAAAATTATCGCTTACGGCGATAAGTTAGTTTCTGCAAATATATCGACCGGACAGCGCAAAGCGGTTTGTGTTAGTACGATTTTCGAAGTGCTAAAAAAAACACAGTTAATGGTAGACCTTATTTAGAAATATTTCACATCTAATTACTTTCAAATTCTGATGACTACATCTATCAACAAGACGGAGCGCCACCACATGGGCAGTGGCGTGGCGAACTCAATTTTCAGAGGCAATTACATTTTGTCGACACCCACCCACAAGGCTGTATCTGGGGGTGGGGGAGATCCAGGGTGTCCCCCCACCGAAAAGTCTTTAATATTTTACGAATGTTTAAAATAATTATTTATATTTAATACAAATATAAATATTTTCAGTCAAAAATGACTTTAGCTCCAATTAATCATTGACTGCTTTAAATTTTATATCATAATATCATATGAAAATAATTTTAATAAAAGAAGATGAAATCTTTTTCTGACTTATTTTTAACCAAATATCTAAATTTAAAATCTTACTCAATAAAATTACAATACACATGTTTTGGAACTCTCCCGAAAAAAATTTATAGATACGGCTTTGCCCATCCACCCCCCAAAAAACTGAGAGGCGATAGCCTCTCGATTACCCATATCGCCACACCACTGCACTCGGGCATTTAGTGCGCTAAACGAAACGCTTCTTAACCGTTGAGTTGGTCGCATTGAGTCAAATGATTTGAAACTTTGCAGCTGACTTCTTAGGTTATCGGATCTCACGTCATGCGATTATTTCTTTTGAGGATATTTTATAGATACTGTGCACATACCGCCATTGCTAACAACCGTAAATGAATTGAAAAATCGAAAAACAGCGGTTGAGTCTATTAGAAGAGATAAGCTGCAAGATGTTTGTAATGGATTTGCCTACAGACTAGTTGTTATCCGTGTGATCAAATAAGCCCACGTAGAACGTTTATAGGTACATACTTTATATACTTATCTTAAACTTAATCTACAACACATTTTTCTACGACTAAAAGATTGAAGTATTCGAAATCGGATGAATTATTTTGAACAACTCTGTATTACTATTATTACCGTTTATTAACATTTTTCAAATCAAAGTTCTTTCGACGGGCAGAGTGTTCGGTTTCACATTTTTCAGTTAACCGATAATGATAAGTGATCTGGATTTTCAGCGGGAATAAAACTGCTGATTCTATGGATAAAATCGATGATCTGTAGTGCACGAGTGTGGTTAGTGGATATTTTTGGCGAAAGCGAACGTCAAAAACACGGTAAACGACATAACTATGGTAAGTACTAGGTGCAAAACTGAAAACTTTTGCTGTTCCGTCTCCGACCACCGATCGTGTTACTTATCGTGAACTTCATTCGGATCCCCGCGTGCGTCACACTTAACCGCGTTGCACTATCGGTATTGTAATGAATCGGCTAAATATTTGCTGACGTAAAACAGCAACAACGGACCCGTGAACGTGCGTCGTTACCACCTGCGCGTTGATGGCGGTAAAGTTATAAAAACCCAAAACGACCATCAGTTAGACGACATGTTGCTCGTGCGTATAATATGCATAATAATAATAATAATAATAATAATAATAATAATAATAATAATAATAATAATAATAATAATAATAATAATAATAATAATAATAATAATGTATACAATATGTGCCGCGTGGTCGTTGACCCGAAGGGGGAGAACGAAATGATACGTGAACAAAATCAAAAATATCCGACGGGACACGAGCGCGCGACGATCACTTGAGACGTCCGTTGTCCACCAGCTCTTTGACCAGGTCGGCGATCATTGCGCGGCACAGCGCGCTCGTGGTGGCCGCCGGGTACGGTTCGTCGCCGGGCCCGTCGTCCGCGTCCTCCTCGGCCGTGTACATGTCCGGCGCCTGTTCCGAGTCGCACGTCGCGATCGGTATCACGTCCAGCGCCACGCCCAGCCCGAACACCGTGTACTCGCGCAGCTCTCCGTCCAACCTGCAAACGCGTTCGTCTAACCTAACCGGCGTTTATTATACCGCGTGGGGGCGCGCGCGGGAGGTCGGTTCACGGGGTTCACACCCTCCACCTATTTTTTTCCTACTTTTTTTTTTTATTTATTTATTTGTTTGTTTGTTGATTTTTTTTTTCGCAATCGATTCATCGTCTCGCCGTGCACATGTTAGTCCATGTCCGACAATCAGCGGCGTATTTCGAACTTTTTCCGACCGTGGGGGGGTAGGGGTGCATGGATCAATAGTTCCGACGCGGTTCGGGCACCGATGTAAAAGCAACCGTTGTTGTCAACAGCAATGGAATACAGTTATTTCAATCGGTTTTCAACCGATACTTCGAACTTCACAAGCCGATTGATTTTAACGCGTAAGTCTGCGAACAACACTATAATATCTTCAGTTGTACGTCCCGCGAAAGTATCCCCTCCCCCGTAAACACGCCACTGTTTACAATTAAAGTATAAACATGTACGAACGAAAATTATTGATGATAATTTACCGATAAATCGTAGTGATAACTCGTTGATTTTTCATTACCTCCCCCCCCTTACCCTCTCACATGGGGGATCTCAGAGACCTGTGCGGCTACGGTATGTATACCAACGGTACCCGTGACATGATCATTTCTTCGGCGATGCGACGGACCTTTGCCGGAACACAATCTTTGAAGCCGCGATCAACTCCCGCAATTTTATGGGCGATCAAATATTAACTTTCAATAACTATGATTTTATAATTTCAGCCTTTTGAAAACATGACATAACAGTTATTTCAATGCAAGGCGCCTGACAAAAATATTATAATACCCTCTGTAGCGTGATATCTTCCAAGGCGGTCTAGGACATTTCGGCGTAAACCATTTTGGTGTGAACCCATTTCGGCGTGCATTCAATTCTTTTAGATTTATATTTTTTAATTTGATTTTTATTATAAACGTGCTGTATGCCGGTATAAGCATATGATTCTAAACACGGTTTATAAATTATCCTAAACTAGTTTTACCCATTTTGCTTCAAGATTTTATAAGCATTATCGAGATAAGATTTTATTGTTTGATATATTTAATATATTTTTTATGCGTTTGGTGCAACAATTCGATTTCTACTTATGGTAAGCTTTCAAAAGAGGACTAATCTGATTGTTGCACTGATCTCTTTGATTGAAAATCATCACGAAGTACTCCGTGCGAAATTAATTAAATAAAAACTATAAGGGAACGTGATATTTTTAATTACGTTGGTTATATGTATGTTTTTGATGGATATAACCACAATAAAACCAAGAAATTTTGGAGATGTCGAAATAAATATTCGTGTAAATCAAGAATTCACACATCCGTTGAAACTTCTGTGATAAGTTTTTATTTATTTATACTTAAAAAAAAAAAATTAATATATTGTATTAATATGCTTAATTTTAAAAATTTTACAGATCATAAAAATTATAAATATCCACACTCACGACTCAGAAACAGCGTTAATCGAATCGAATATTGCAATTATGGAAATGAAAAATCATATATTACATTAGAACTAACGTCAAGCATCATAAATTAAAGTACAAATAGCATTTCACAAGTAGCAAAGTAAAAAAAAAAATTTTTAAATTTTATCAAACATTCATAATATATTTTTATTTAATTAGGGAACGTTAACAGCAGATGGAGCTCTTAAAAAACAAATAAGGAGGACAAGGTATAAAATGCAAATTGTACCAGATGCACCAAAAGACCTAAAAATACTTGTAATACCGGAAAGTTTTCAATTGTACTCCCCTTCAGAAGGTACCACTGAACAATTTTTGTTACATGATAGCGTACCAAGTCCAGATAGAATTTTAATTTTTGGTCGTTCTCGGAGTTTAAATGTTTTGCATCAATCAGATATGTGGTAGGCTAATGGTACTTTTAAAATTGCTCCACTACTTTTTTCCTAAGTATACATTTTACTAGAAAAATATCTCGACGGCGTACACCCATTATTATACGCACTTCTACCAGACAAAAGAAGACAAATATATGAACGCTTATTTCAAATAATTATAGATGTAAAACACGATTTAAAACCTGTATCGATAGCATGCGATTTTGAACAGGCTGCCATTAATGCTTTTAAAAATAAATTTCCCGGTGTTGAAATGTATGGCTGTCTTTTTCATTTATCTAAAAATTTTACAGTACAAACGCATGAATTAGATTTGATTTCTAGATATAAAAACAATGCTGATTTTTCAATTGCAGTTAAAAATGGTTTTGACGCTAGCGTTTATTAAAATGGAAGATCTAAGCAATGCAATCGATTTACTAACCATTGAAATATCCGACGAAGTTCTACCTCTTTAAGATTGGTTTGAAGAATATTACATCGGAAGGATAATAAGAAACAGACGTCAATCCACCCGTTTTCCTCCTGAGTTTTGGAACGTTTATGAGCGTGTACTTAATGATGAAGACAGAACTAACAACTATGCCGAGGCAGCTAAAAGACAACTTAATTTACAAATGGGTGTGCAGCATCCAACCTTATGGACATTCATTTCTTGTTTGAGAAAAGTACAATCTGGACGCGATACATTTTATAATCAATTAGAAGCTGGAAAAAGTCCCCCACGGAAAAAAAGAAGTAAATCGATGTAGATAAAAGAATAAAAAAAAACTTGTAAATAATTATAACAATCGTGACATCATTAGTTTTTTAAGGGGGATAGCCCATAATATTATTTGTCATTAGTGTATTTTAATTGTATTTATATTTGGTTAGATATATAGAGAGATAATCATTATTAACATTATTATTGTCGGCCGATACCGTATCCCATAATATAATATAAACAAATATCATTTATGTAGCGTGTTTAGAATCCTAACTATACCGGCATACAGCGCATTTATAATAAAAATCAAATTAAAGAATATAATTCTAAAAGAATTGAATGCAGGCCGAAATGGCTACGCTGAGATGTCTGGGTCCGCTTCCAAGGTTATGAAAATAATCAAATTCTTCTTTTTTTTTTTTATTTTTCTATTTATTTAATCAATGGCGCACACTTCATGGGTCAAGAGGGTCAGTCGACACTCTGAAAAAAATTGGATGGTTAAAAATATTTGCAATTTTGTAAATATTATTTCAATTTGAAACATGTGAAATTTAATTGGACCTAGGTTTATGCCTTAAATGCTAAGTTCCACTACCTCAAGTTTCAGAATTACCTCTATTGGAGCTGCTTTGCTAATGTTTATGGATAATGGGTGGGTGAACGGTATTAATATAATATGTTCGACCCATGTTGGTAAGAATGAGTGTGCGCCACTGTGTTTTATATGACTCGCAGGGATATGGACCGTAAATATTCATATCTTAATTGTTAATTTTTTTATGTTTTAGTACAGGGATGGCAAGTAAGTGGTACGGGGGAAATATTCGATAACATTCGAGAGACTTTCGTGTGGTCTTACATATTTGTAGATTTTTAAATAAAGTATAATATATATTAACAAAACTCAATTATATAATAAAATAATGAAAAATTAAATTAAAATTAAAAATTATTGAATGGTTCAATATAACTGGAGCAGTAATAGGTTTTATTAAATTATTTGAGAAGCATGTTGGTCATCTAATAATTGGATTTCACTGCAATGTACATTAGTAAATGGTGTGTTCCAAAGTCAGCAATAGTGATTTAAAAGAATTGTCAGACAAGTTAATGAAATTATTAATTTTATAGTTTCTTGTGATATGCATAATAGATAGTTTAGGAAAAATGTTAAACAATGTTAACTGTGAATATACTCTTTTTAAAATATCAATAGTATATGTTGGTAAAGCCATATTGTTAGACAGATTTTTAAAGTTTTTGGATGAAATTCGTTTATTTTTACATGATCGATCTTAAAAAACTTCATAATACAAAATGGCTAAAAAAATTGATATTTTTCACAGGTTACATATAAATACTTTGAATGAAAGTTGCAAAAACTTGGACAAATAACTGAAGTTATTTTTGGACTAATAAAAAACTTTAATTTAAATTAAACAAATTTAAAATAGATATGTTTATTGAAGAAGTTATACCTGGAAATGTGTATTCTTCTCAATGCTGAAAAAATGTTAGGTGTAGTGAACATTTTTTAACAAACAAATCGGGATTTTACTGATGAATTTTCCACTATTTTTGGTGTTATTAGATTTGAGTTTTCACAAACATTTCATTGATAAAAAATATTTACTCTATAGAATTATTTGATGTGCAAGTTTTTGATAATAATTTTCATAATTTGATGCAATTAGAAAATTTAGAAATGTAGTAAACCTATTTAAAACTAATCCAATTTGAACAGAGAAATTTGTGAATAAGCTAAAGTGCATCGAAGAATTGGAACGTCATCGGAATACATAACGAAGAAATAGATTGCGATATTGACAATACAGTATTAAAAGTATGGAATAATATTCCAGGTACCTTTTATTCCGTTAAAAAATTAACGATTTCATTGTAGACGATATTCTCTTCAAATTATGCTCGCAAAAGCGTTTTTTCTATACTTAATCATGCACATTAAAATACTATCATATAAACAGATTAATCGAGACAGCATCTATTACCTTGAAAACTACAGCATATAAAGATATAAAGAATCTTTTAAGCAATAGGTTTCCAACAAACAATAATAGTTGATTTTTTAAATAATTTTTTTTCTATATTATTTTCATTAAGTTATTTTTGAAAATTGGTCAACCCCAATAAGTGAGGAGAGAAGAAATTTTTAAAAAAATTTTATATCAATAAAAATAATTAATGGTACTGTTATATTTTTTTTTAATTGTGTCATAAATTGGCACATTAAACAAATCCTATTTGCCATCTCTGTCTTAGTAGGTACATTTAAAAAAATATATGAATTTTATTATTTACGAAAATTTTTAAAGATTTTTGGCACTTATTTTTCTGAAAACGTTGACGTTTCAATTTTTATTTCCATCTATTGGTTTTTGTTCTATATACTCGTGTATATGTCAGAAAAATAGTGTATTAAACGTAATAGTGTTTTGATTTATTATTATTTATACATCATTTAAACTCGTTTTCTGATGATACCAAAATACTTTTATAGCACCTACTTATTATAAGTAATACACTATTTTTCTGTGAATTAATAATATATATTAAAGGTTACAAGGTTTACGGTAATACTAAACGTTGAAACGTCGACATTCGCAGAACAGGGAACTTTATCAAACGGTTTGTTTTCAAATTGTTCGGAAAACAGTCTAAAATTATGTCTTGAAATGTTGTACCACAACATAAAATGTAACAATTAAAACATAAAACGTTCGCGGTCCACAACCACGCACAGAGTCGTGTTATGGGTTCGTTTATCTTCTCTGTCGTGACGGCGGATAAATCTTCGTGGGACACCCTGCGCGCGGTCGTTACGTTGTTGCGCGCCGCCTCACTAACTTTTCTCGTAAGTCCGGGTAGTGGACCGAGCAGTTGGTTTGCGTCAGGATACGGCTGACCGAATCATAGTACTCGTCCATCAGTGCTGGCAAACACCGCCTGCGCAACTCCACGCCGGTGCAACAGTACAGCAGACTGACCAGGTCCAGCGCCGGCGAACCGTACCGGGCCATTTGAAAGTCCACTACGGATATCTGCGGGCAAAACGAGCGATGATCATTACACGAACTATATCGTTCCCGTAGTCGTAATAGTTGTTATTAGCTGTACGGACCCAGTACCGGATTTAAGTGCTTGGGCGGCCCGGGGGACAGGACACAAGTATTAATCGAAGGCGCCAAAAAAGAAAAAAAAATTTATATCAATCTTATCGATTCATCTTCAACGCATGTGCACGCGAAACGGTAGTTGTTACAACGAACCAGTCGAAAATAATTCGGTGTCCAATCAACAATTTTATAATTCTGTTTAACATTAGGTACGATTTGTATAGAACCATTGTTGAATACTCGTTGATAAAATGTTTTCGCAATACATTGTGCGATCATAATCATTTAATTTATGCCGTTGAGAAATATTAAAGGACCTGCATCGTCTGATGTCCCGATGCATTGCACCGCCTGCACCCATCTGATAAAAATCCGGCACTGCACATGACGACGTCTTACTTCGGATATGCTTCCGTCGAGAGCGTACTGAAACAAAAAATTGTTCGTCCAACAGTCGCCGTGGCACAGCACGGCCAAAGGTTCTTTCGGCGACACCAATTCCACCATGTCACCGAAGAACGATTCGGGGTTGACGTGTTTTCGAAATTTTTCCAAATATTTTGGTTTTTCGTCCTCGGTCAGCTCCGACTCCAACTGCAATAGCCAAAAGAGAAAACGTCACAAGCATATCACGGGAAAACATTCCACTCCGTCAGTCCACGAGGCAGTCGGCATGATTAGAGCTCAGGTTTATATAATGTTGGATCGGTATTTATGACCATTTAAAAGTGTATGTACCTACCGATATTGTATGTGAATTTGTTTTCACGTGCGATGTCGGTACTCATTATTTTTAATACTGTTACCCTTCTACGTACTACACGTATGCAACGGACAATGATCAACAAAAATGGCCAAAGGAAAATGTAATTATTTATTAATACGTTGTGATAGCAGTACAAAAGGGTGTATTCGAACATTTTTGCATGTGGAGATTTATACTTAGACATTTACGCTACGGACATTTTTCCCTATACTCAGACATGAGTTGTAATTATATACGTTAAAAGTTACGGAAACAAGTGTTCTAATACTCGTTTATTATAATCATGTCGCAACGGATACTAATTAGTTAAAACCGAAAACTTTTTTTTCTTTCTACATTTTTGTGCGCGATTATTATGCGTATTACGTTTGTAGTTTAAAAAATTATATTTAATTTCTATAGCGTATTTTATTATTTTAAGGTATAATTGTATGTTCTTCTAAAACAATAGTAACACAAATTTATATTTTTGATATTCCTAAGTTATTTAGAGCATTTCAACGACCTAGATCGATACGAATTAACGGTGCGTGGACAAGTACCATTTTCTTTGCGTTCTCCGCTGCTCTTCGGTAATATCCTTTGTACCATAATTCGTTTTCACTCTTGTAGTACACCTCTTTGATTGCCTCTGAGATGCATCGTTTAAACTTTTCCGGTTCATCGACTTTCATGGACAAAGACAATCCGTGAAATTTCCCAAGACCTCTAAGAACAAACATATATTTTATACAGATAGAAGAAACGCCACGATGTATTATAGAGTGAATATGTATACACAATGTATTTATGTGTATGTACATGAGTCACACACGAGTTCAATAAAGCAATAGATAACAACAATTGAAATTAATAACTTATAACTAATTAGTTGTAAGTATTAATATAGATAAAGCCAATCTTTTTGCTACGCATCTTGCAAATAACTTTTCTCCGCATCCAGATATTAATATATTAAAATACACTGATCATATAAAACAATCTTTAGACACCCCTCTCCCTATGGCCTTTCCAGATAAGCATACATCCCCTTCAGAAATTCTATTCATAATCAATAAACTACCAAAAAACAAATCTGGTCACGTTCTCATTACTAACCAAATAATCAAAAACCTTCCAAAAAAGGCAATAATTCTTCTTACCTACATATACAACTTCATACTACGTCTATCACACATCCCATCAACCTGGAAACAATCCATTATAATACTAATTCATAAACCTGGAAAACCTTCAGAATCTCCCTCCTCATATCGGCCTATCATTCTCCTCCCTACCCTCTCTGAAATTCTTGAAAAAATTCTCCTTAAAAGAATCTACCCAATTATTAATTATTTTAATATAATCCCTAATACGCAATTCGGCTTCAAAATCAAACACTCAAATTTACACCAAGTGCATAGAATAACTGATATTATCTCCTCTTCTCTCGAAACAAAAAATCACTGTGAAGCTGTTTTCCTCGACGTTGCCCAGGCGTTTGACCGAGTGTGGTCAGACGGACTTCTTTACAAACTCCGCTTCCTTCCGGCTCCTTTATTTCTTATACTTAAGTCCTTCCTAACTAGTCACACTTTTGCGGTCCGCTATTTAGATGATATATCAAATTCACATCGTATTCACATTCGCATCATCACAGGTGCTCCTTGGTTCGTCAGCAATCAGTCCCTTCATAATGACCTGAAAATCCCAACTCTTCCTGAATTAGCCTCTCAATCTTACAAAAAACTACACACAGCCATAATTAACCATCAAAATCCACTTATCTCTAATCTCCGTTCTTTAACTAATCCTATCAATCCACTACGTCGATTAAAACGACGTTGGCCCAGAGATCTATTAAACTAAATTAACAAACTGATGAGTATAATGACATTTTGAAGTGGTGTCACTGGACGCCCCCTTCTCTCAAGCCTTCATGTTCATTCGTTTTCATTTAAGCCTTCAAAATTTACTTATTGTATTATATTATGTATACAGATTGTAAATATTCATTTAATAAAAAAAAAAAGTATTAATACATTATATCATTAAAGAGTAATTTTTTCAAAATCACTAAATTATTGTGCAAGTTCCTTTTCAAAATAAATGTTTATACATTTATGGTATTTAATAATTTTGGTTCATAACATTAATGTAAATGCAGTTTTTCTTTTTTCTTTATTAAAATAAAAAATTCTTAATCTGATAGATCTAAATTTTTAAGTATATATATATATATATATATATTTATGATAAATAGTTATTCTTTCATAATTCAAGAATCAATTATATCGTTATTGTAATATTAAAATATCATTACCTATTTTTGAACGGAGTGTAATAATTTCGAACATCTTATCTATTTTTCTATCTTGTTAGTGTAACTCGAACATTTTTATTCAGAACGTTTATGTGGTGCAGTTCAATGACCCCCCTCTCGTTCTAGAGTGTATATATGTGTGTGTGTGTGTATTGTACCTCGGAAGGCAGGTTTCTCACCTGAGGATGGCTTTGCAATGATCGAAGTCTAGACCCTTCTTCCTGTCCAACATCGTGAAACCTTTGCATCGCATATCCTCCAACACAATAATATCGCTTCGGGCAAAATAGCATTTCGGGACACTGTTGAAAGTGTCGGTGAATCGTTTGAGCTCCTAAAGCACAGGGATATCATGTGAGTTTCAGGGCCGAGAAAAAAAAAACCACGAGAAAAAAAATAACGGTGAAATCTATTTGTAGGTAGGCACGCCACGTGCAAAGCTGACCTGGTATTCCATCAACGCTGTGTACGATTTCACGTAGAACGTCATCTCGTTGTTAAACAACATTTCGGACTTGTACTTGCTCCTCGTCTGCTTGTTTTCCGGTAAACACTTGTAGATCAACGATTTCGTCCATCCACGTTCGCCGAACAGTTTGATCCTGTACAACATGGACGTGTAATTGTCGCCTCTCTTCGACCCCAGTTTGGACTGCAAAACAATATTGCAACACGTGTTTCAGTGATATGCGCTTCTATTCATATATTACGGAGATATATTATACGTGGGGATATAATTACTACGCCATTTTACTACTCCAAAAAAATATGGTTTCACTCCTAAAACTCGTAAATTATTGGTACTATAAAATAATAGCTCGCGGTACAAATGTTTCGCGTGGCCGAAAGTAGTTTCTTCAAAGCTTTTTTACACACATGTTCCTCCTAGAAACAGACTTAAGCAAACTGAATTTCTAAATATATGACATCTTTGATGTTCTCTTTGCGGTCTTCAAATTTTTCGGATAAATATAAATTGTATACTGCATTAATGACACAAAATGATTTTTTTTTTTTTTTTTAGTATACATTTGGCGGTTCACTTATACATCTTAAGTTCTATAAAATAGTCTAAAGTTTTGACCGATACGCTTATTTCATAGTAATTGTCATCTTATCGGTAATAGATCATTCGTGGCAGTGCCGTAAAAACCGGGTGTGCAGAGGGTTCACAATTCACACGGGCCCCGGGCCTCAAACTATTTATTATGGAGTATTAAAAGGTCAAATGCTCAAAAACGTTTGATGAATAGGGGCCTCAAGGTTATGATTCGCAAACGGGCCTCGAGTGGTCTAGTTACGGCACTGATTCGTGGCTTCAAGTTTCGGTGCAAAACACGGAACTACCGGTATTTGGTTGATCGGTTACAGAATACGTGTGCCGCCGTTAAACGTTGAAGTATTTCTTTTATCCCTATAGTGGTAAGATCTAACCTGACCTGATCGACTGATCACAAATGATTGCTAAACGTCCAAAGAACACCGGCAATGTGAATCATAAACGCGTAAGGACTCCGAGTTGGTGTACTAAATCGACTAATTCGTATCAAAGGATACGAAGAAAATTGACAATCACAATACAAGGTAATATACTGTGCCGGTAAATTTTCTAATTCAACAGTTCACAAATAGATCAGTATAAACGTTAGTCTTTGCCATGCAAACGGTCGTTCCAACGAAATGTTTACGGCACAGAATAAATATTGCGTTTTTAAACATGTAACTAAAACAGATTTAATAATACGAATAAATAAGTAATATTAATATAAATAATAATATTGTTTAATAATCGTATTAATATTAGACCACGTACGGCTGTTATAGCGGGTCTGGTCGTAGTTTTGCCTATAGGCTATGGTAGTATAAATGCGCCTGAACGTGATTTTGCCAGACTTTTAGTATCTATTCAAATGGACTTACCTACTTATCTTTTGTAACTTCCGCGTTAAACTGAAATCGTTAAAAACAATTGCAGGTGTACATAATGTGACAGAAATTTTACTCCATATAGAGTCATAAACGTGCGATGGGCATATGGGGAAAATCAGTACGACTAGCGTTTTGGTCTACCGAATCGATTAGATCGTTTTTCCCGTTTGAAACAAGGACCAATGTCGACACCTTCGCGCACCCCTTTCTAACTCCGGCACTGGTCGAGCCTTCAGTACCTACTATATATATATTAGCACGGACTAAATTTCGAACCTTGTTAGTTGCGCTACCACACATGTAATAATTTTCGCACGTCATGTCAACGTGCAACGGTTTCACGTGCATCCAGTGGCGCACACTCATCTTTACCGACATGGGTCGAACATATTATATTATTACGGACTACCCATAAAAATTAGCAAAGCAACTCAAATAAAGGTAATTTTGGAGCTTGAGGTAATGGAACTTAGCACTTAAAGCATGAGCCTAGGTCTAATCAAGTTTTACGTGTTTAAAATTGAACTAACATTTAGAAAATTGCAAATATTTTTAACCACCCAATTTTTTTCGAGGGGGTCGACTGACCCCCTTGACCCATAAGGTGTGCGCCATTGCGTGCATTACACCCGGCCGTAGTGTACACTCACTTCGTAAGAGTCGATCTTCACTCCAGGCTCTATCTTGTCCATCATGGATTGTAGAAAAGACAGATCTACGGTTTTCGATCCAGCCATGGTGGCGGTGCGCGTGCAGTGGACCACAGGATGCACGCGATCGAACTGACTCGGGGTTACTGCCACCAAGCGGTCTGCGGTCGTCAATTTACGAAAAGTTATCGTTTCGACCACGCGCTTCTTTCGATGTGGGGACTGACGCACGTCCGTGTACGCGTCTCGTGCGCGTATCACATTATGGCCAATCAACGAGCCGATATCGTGATAATATCGTTTAATGCATTTACTTGGCTTGTGTGTCTGTTCGGCCGTAACACGATGTGTATTCGCTACCAAATTTAATTTTAAATCGGGGGAGGGGGGCAAAGGATTTTTTCGCAATATTTCTTTGAATGGTTACGTACAAAATATCACAGACACCTACTCGGATTTTCAGGTGATATAACGATGATATGCGACTGTTATTGTAATCAACACTGTCCGTACGGTCGAAAATTCGAAAGTCCTATTATATGAAGTTATCACGTGTTTTCAAGCAATGCAATGCATTTTATTCAACACTACTACGAGTCTCCCCGATAAGTGTACCCGAGTAACGCCAATGTAAGTCTGTACAGAGTTGTACATCGAATATACAATTTTATTTTTAAAATTGAACCAGTATTATTTTTTGATGACGAGTCGAGTCGAGATCAAAATTCGAGTACTCAATAAATGCTGAGTACTCGAGAAAAAAGTCGTGTTTACTAATCTGTTTAAAATGTTATCACGATAATAAAATATCAAAACAATAACAATCTATTGTTATCAATATAAACCGTTGACATTTCTGGTATTTTCTATTGAAAATATTTGGCTCCTAGTTTTATTATTTATTTTTTAATAAAGTAGTTTTGTCGAGTCGACTCGAGTACTCGAACTCAACTAGAAATATTTTACAATGTTGAGTCTAAGTCCAACTGTATTTGTTTATATTGAACTACATTATTTCGTAAATATGTATTTGTATTTGATGACATTTATCGGTGTCATAAGCCAGACGTACAACAATTTGATATCTGATTGTAATAAAATATTTGTCTTACTCAACGCAATACGTTGCTCTCTAAACTGTGGTGTTTACATATTTTGTTATACCTAATAGATATTTTATGTTTTTTTATAACATTATTTTATATTACTCGTTGATCGTCATCTTAACGGTGGTAGGTCTTTTGTGACTCCAAGGTCTGGAGCAAAAAATAGCAAAACAACGACATTTGCGTGGTTGCTTGCCGAACACGTGTTCAGTTAGACGCTGCAGTCTTCCCTTTATCCCCATGATGATAATATTGGATCTGACCGGGTTTATGGTTACTTAACGAACAAATTATATTGACCATTTAAATACACGTGTGTGGAATTCAACCTGGCATCACGAGTTCAACCAATACGGACCAAAGGTTGTGTTAAAAACCAACAACCATATTATATGGTAAATTATAACCATATATAATATTTAGGTATATTTAAAAAAAAAAACCATAATATAAAAATGTTAATAATTTGAGCTAATGCTATACCATATAGTATATATATATATATATATGTGTGTAGTACTGGTTGTTTAGGCTGTTCGATCATATTATACTTACGATTTTTATTGCTTCCTAATTTCATTTTATAGTAAGGGTAAAGGTGTTACCGTAATATTTATTTAAACGTTACATACATATTTTTTTACATACACATTCACGTATTTTTTTTTTTTTTTTTAAGAAAGAAATGTAGTACATTTTATTCAACTTTAGTGCGCTTTTCCCTAGGAAGTTTATCCTGAGTAACGCTAACGTGGATCTACATGTATCACAATTCTAAACAGTTAGAATGAAGCGATTTAAATACATTTAACCTCTATATCGTGGTGGATTACAGTGCCGATTTGTATTAAAATGTTGGTTCTTGTTATACTAATAAAATGTAATAGTACTGGCAATACTACCGTAGACATTCATTTTAATCTCTGGGAATATGTTTTAATACACTGTTACTACGATTGTTCATATGCATGTACATGACTCTTGAGTTATTTCAGTTTAAGCATCGTAAACGTGTATACAATTAATACAATATGTAAGCGGTAAGTGATTATAATTACTATTTTACGTTGCGTAATAATAATTTATTAAAAGGGAAAAAACTAATTTAAAAATCCATTGTGACCAGTTTGACTCAATTATTGTTCCGATCGTTTAGCGTTATACCCAACATCGTAATCCATACGAATTAGAATTGAGTAAGTGAATGAGTATACGTGTGTGTATTGCCGGGCCTCCAAAGTACTGTAGCGTGGTCGTATTATTATTATATTACGCTCATAACATCTAATAATGTTCCCTGAGAGACAGGAAGTCGTTGTAAGCCTTTTGCAGTGGATCACGCAGCCCGACCAGACAGGAGTAGTTATACGTATATTATAGCGTAGATGTGTATAGAATATGAAAAACACAAGTCTCCATCGTAACATTCAACGTTTTTATTTACACAATAATAATGACACACGATGCACGAAGATCGTATACGAGTGCCACGTGCACGTGTGAAAAATAATAACAAATTGCAACCGCAGGAAATCCGATAAAATTAGCAGCGGCTACTTTCACTCGGATCTGCCTGTATATACAATGTAAATTATACATGCATTAACTTACATAATACGACATCCAGTGGCGTCCGCAGGGGGGATGATGGAAGATATGCCACTCCCATGGGCCTTTTTTATTTAACTTTGAACTTAGGGCGTTCATCAACGTAATGTGTAGTTTAATCATATCTTTCGAGAACCACGTTTCATATCAGAAATATGTTCCGCGGTGATATCAGGGATAATACATTTTTGTCGTTCCAATTCATGACATCCTTCCCCTTCCCCCATCATACCGAATTCCTGCGCACGTCACTGACGCCATCGATTTTCAGGTCCTTAAAAACTATTGAGACCCATCACGTTTTTTTTTATTGTAGTTATTGATAGAGAAAGAGAGAGAGAGAGAGAGAGAGAAAGAAGAACAATCGAACCGCACAACGCATGACCTAGAACACGTACTGCCGTCGAAAGTCAGGTCATGGTTGATATTCATCGCGCCCATCCGGACGACGGATTTCTCTCCCGAGAATATCGTACGACGAATGCGTCCTGTGACACCGGTCAGCCGGTCGCGTTTCGGCATTGGAAATCGTGCGGCTTCATCGGTATGCCCGTCGGCCCGTCCGTGAACTGGCAGATCTGCAGGCCCATCTTCGACAACGGGTGACACTTGCTGTGCGGGTTACCCCATTTGCCGTAGTACTGCATCCACGGCGGCTGTTTCCCGGACGCCTTCAGTACCTCCACCTTCAGCCACGTCCTCCACGGCGACCCGTAACCGCTGTCGTCGTACAGCCGCGGTATCCGCACGTACTTGTGCTTACCTGTACGAACACGTTCACGAAAATCACGTCAGGTCACGCACGGCCGTCGTTCGCTGCGCACGGGACGCGAGCGCGGTTTTCGAATAAAATTAATCGGGTTTTGGTCGTTCGCAATGCGTACGGTGTTCGGACCGATCTGGACGGATTGCCGAGATGAATTATCTAGATGATTGCTTATTCGTCTTCCATCTTGTCTAGATCAATGGTTTCGACGTATCTAAACATTTGTCTCGGACGAATATTTTACTGATTTAGATAAATTCATCTAGATACATTTCGATCATCAGAATCGCGCAAACAAGTTCATCAAATTTATTTCTTTATTTTCTTAATTAGAGAATAAATAAGTTATGAAACATAAATGACACGATTTACAAAAATGTATAAACAAGAATAATGTTTTTTTCCCGTTGCGAATTAGTAAAAATTGAAAATGTACCATTTTAAAAAATTGGACGCTGCAATTATCGGCATATTAATTATTATTAACATTTGCCTTTCGAGTTATGGATCATAAATTAAATGTCACACAGTAAATATATTAATTATTTATAACTATAATTATGACGAAATCGCTTACCTACATCAAATTAAATAATTATAAAAAAAAACTATAATGTTAAGTTTGCGCTCATTACAAATTTGTATCTTTTTTTTATTTAGGTAAAAAATTACTTTTCTAATCCGAACACTGTTTGTATAGCGATTGATTGACTACAACGAGAATATAAAAAAAATAAGGAGCTCCCGATGGTAACTATCTGAAAACGATCGATTGGACATTGCACCTAGCTATTTTCCCTGTCGAACAAGATGTCGCTGCTTTCCAATGAGCACACGCGTTTGATACCGTTTATTTTATCCAGCGCTGTTACTTGTCCACAACTTCAAAAACGTCAACTGTACAAAATAAGTATTGCATTTAGTTATTATCTACATCAGTAAGTTCATATTCAGCATTTATAAAATGTTGATACCACTATTATCGAGTGCAACTCTTGAGATAAAAATGTTTGTTTTGTGGTCAGAATTTGAGTTGTTCGCGAACTGTTCAAAACGTCCCATCGTCGATTAAATACATTTTATTTCTGGTGAATTTCGAATTAAATAGTCATATGAAAAACATAAATTTTATTGCTTTCAGAATTTAAACGGATTAGTTGGATTTTAAGTGGTTGATTGATTTTTCTTCAAGCTATGTTGTATATTACTATTTTGAAACCGGATAAATGCGGTTTTTTTCAGTAGAAAAAATTGGTATTCAGTTTATTATTATTACTTATTATGCTATAACATTAATCGGATAATCTTTTCGAAAACAGTAATAAATGCATTTATACGTATACGTGGACATAAAAACACTAAGGCAATTATCCAATCGAATGTTTTAATGTAAAAGAGACAAAAAAATTGTCTAGTAATATACGAACACGCGTGTATACTGTCACGTACTAAACAATAAATTCTAGTAATTCTTGCACGCAGCATCTATACACAATATTATAACTACATACATATGCCGAACCACCGATGGATCTAACCTGGAGCCGTCCACAGTCCATGGGAACCTTTGGCCGCGAACAGTACCGGATGATTGCCCTCGTCCGTCAGATGTACCACCTCCGGAAACTTGGGTTTCTGCAAGAACCCTTTGCGCACCTCTTGCCGGTCGAACACGAACTTCCGGCGGTTCCTGTCGAACCGGTAAAACGCACCCGCGTCGTGCACCGACACGTACATCTCTTCCGGCTCGTCATGGCCCTATTATACGTGCATTGAACACACACAGAAAAACGATTTGTAGCGACAACCAATCAACATTGTTGTTATTAAGAGGGCTTGATGTCATCAGCAGCATAATGTTACGATTTACGCGGGACAACCCTTTAAGTGCAAATGCACGGTAGAAGCTCATTTTTATTATTATTTGAAAGAGAATGGACATTATACGGCATGTAGCGTTTATTATTTTTGCAAACAAAAATGGATTCAGAGTGATTTATGTTTTAATTGAAATGTATATTTAATATGTGTGTAACAATTGTAAAATGTTCTGTCTTTCGTATAAAGCTACTGAAATGAGTTATCGAAAAATTTAAAATGCTACATAGTACATAATATTTTATTCTATAAGACGAAAAAAAAGTCTCCACTGTCAATTTAGTCTATTAAATGGTTTTTCCAAATGAATTATAGTTTTTTGTCTAAAAACTGTCAAGAAATTATTAATTTATTTATGGATCCACAGACACGATCACGCGTCTCGCATTCAAATATGTGCGCCAGATCTGCATCTCGTAACGTCGTCGATCTGTATGGAATGTTACAACCGGAGTACATTTTTTATTTTTTATCATCACTTCTTCTTAAAATTATATCATTATTAATATTGTTATTATTATAAATGCTAATATTTTATGGGAAACTAAGTCACAGTGTGACTAATGTGTACAATGCATATTTATTTATTTATTCCAGATCGAGAAAACACGTGTTCCTCTTCGTCACATGATGTTTTTGTTGTTAATAATATTGAAATTCCGAAAGATATTATTACGGGATTGATTTTACAATTAGTGCGTTTTATTATTTTCAAACACTTTAAATGTCTAAATTAAGAATGTCAAATAAGATAGACGCTAATTCAATATATTTTTTTTAACCTATTACTAACGAATTGAAAAGTAATGGGATTAATCCCATTCATGAACATTGACGTAATCATTTCTTTTCTTTTATATCCAATAATGCATATTTAACAATTATTTTTATTATTTTTATTTGTTAGCTCAATTAATTTTCCTTATTACACGATACAGTGAAATACTATAATAATCATTTATAAATTTACATACGGAAACGACCTTCGATCGGACTCATTTTCCAAACGCGATGATTTATTGTTATTTTCAAATGTATGCAAATTAAGAACAATCTATTGATCCTAATATTTTATATATATATAAACTTTCGTATGGCATATATTATTTTAATTGCTACTGGAATATTTATTATAATACATAATTAATTACATTATATTCTACAGTGGCGCGACCGACTAATTTAAAAGACAAAAATAATATTACAACTAACTGTAGTAATATTATTTCTGTCATAACATGTTAACATTGAAGCCCCACCATTAATCGATGAAACTTACTTAACTCGAAAGTATAGTGTTCCCGTTTTCAATACAAGGTAAGCCATTATTTTTTTTTTTTTACTAAAACTAGATTATAGAGATCAGAGGGGTAGTTTGAAATTCAAAAGATGAGCGTATGTAATTTGCGCCAAAAGTGACCGAGAAAGTAATATATGTACTCTACGCAACGTCTAAAATAGTATATATGTAAATTGCCACACAAATTTGTCAAAACTGGTTCATCATTTAGTCATTACATCTAACATAGTTTTATTTTCTATTCCATTTCGTATTATACTCCGAGAAGTTTTTAATAGTTTAAAACATAATTCAAGTTGAAATTTGTAAATTTGTGATAAAATATTAAAAATAATTGATAGATATTAGCTGAAACAAAACAGTTTTCATTTACATAAAAATCAATGTATATCAATATTATAAAATACATGATAACATGTAAATCCTTTAACTATTTATAGAATTACAGTTTGACCGAGTAAGCGCAATTATACTTACGGGCACGTGGCGCAAAATACATACAATTAACATTTACTGCCTGTAGGTGGCGAAAATTACACGCGCTAATCGACGGCATGAATAATCATCGGCCCTGCGAAAGACCTGCGCGCTGAATCGGATTCGGTGCTTTAGAGGGACATGGACTAATTGGACTGCATATATTTTAGGGTCAGTGTATGAATTGTGCTCTTTATATTTTACGGTCAACCGTTTTGAGTCCAAATTTGCCTGATATTTATTGATCAATTGATTACTGGCTAAAGCGGCTGGTTTTAATATATTTTATAACAGTATCGGGAATCGTATGAAACGTTATTATTATTGGCCTTAGGGTTTATAGGTCATGAGTTAAGTGCTCCCCTTAATTCGTGGGTGGTAAGTATTGTAAAGGTAGTAAAATACTAAAAATCTTACAATGTATTATGCATTAATACTCGCAAAAAAATCCTTTTTAAATTCCTTAGGTAATGTAAAGTGTATAGAACGCAATTGGTATATCGACCCTAAAACGTTTAGAGCACAAGTGGTACATGAAAAGGTAAATTTAAATGCAATTGATAAACTCCCCTTTAGAGATACAAGACCCGTCCCCCGTCGTCAAGGTGTCTCCGAGTTACGCGTACAGCACTGGAACCGGTCGCGCCGCCGCAGTGTTACGCGCAACATTTCTAAGATGTACGCACGTTGAACATGAGGCTCATGTGTTCCCAGTCGCCCACGTGACTGCCAAACTCTTTGAGGGTGCCGAAACACCGGTTATTGATGACGGGCAAGGGCAGCGGGCCCAGCACTCCCATGTCCAGCGTGCATATCGGTTTGCCCTGGCTGAACGGGAAGAACAGCCAATACGATACGTGGAACTTTTTCCGACCGCATTCCGTCACGTGCGCGTACACCGGCACCCGGGTCGTGTTCGGGTTTTGTCCGTACAGCACAGAAGTGCCGTTCTCCAACAATTGTCCTGCCGGAAACGAAAATCGTACAAGTTTTTTTTAAAAATTTTTTATCATATTATCGCATTGAATACGCCCAAAACCGTTATAGTCACGCGTGCACACGCACTTATACCTGCGCATCCGCGTACTTGCACACGAGTAAAAATACTGTTTTTACGGGGGTCACGGGGTGTTCCGCAAAGATACGGGAACACGAAAAACTGTTGGACGTTTCGACTTTCGTTTTCTTTAACGTTTTCGGAAGATTAAACTCCTTTAAATTATCTTCAACTTTTTCGATAACAAAGAAATAAAAAGTTATTTTTCTACATTTTTACCAAAACAAAAAAACTATATGTGCATAATAGAGAGAAAAAACAAAATTTAATTAAGTATCTTCGTTGTCTCAGAATATATAGAAAAGGGTATATATTCGCTGGACATTCGCTGTATATATTTTGTCGTGATAGCCGTACCGTGTAGTATCACTCTAATGTTTCGATCAGTCAAACCAACCGAAAAAGAGAAAAAGTCGAGCGATCAAAGTCCTCAGCTGTCGTGGTTACAAATACGGGTGGGATGAGGCTTTACAGGAGAACACATTAGACTTTCATTAGGTTCGGATCGCATAACAGTAGACATGTACTCGTATGCTGCGGTAAACCTTACAGGTCGTTTTAAATTTTACTGAATAAAAAAACCATGTTCCTGGTGTATTTGTTATCTTTTGCGGTACACTTGCCGCGCACGGCATTCGTTTGAACATTACGTGCCGTTTTTCGTGTATTCTTTATTACTCACACGTTACACAGTACAAAATTATACAACGCACCGCAATAATGGTACAAGTACCTACCTACTACTGCACGTTATCCGTAACTGACCGCATTCGCTTTACTTGTGATGTGTGTGGGACACGAAGTGATCGTCACCTAAACATGCTGCACAATCGTCCGACGAACGAACGCGGTCGTCATGCCGGTAGGTAACGCGCAATTGTTACGTAGGTATCGTTTCAGTACGATGTTATGAACGTCAATAAAACGTACGACGCGCTTTTGTTTTCGATCGTTTGAAAATCCGACAATGGCTCATTATAAACAAAATAAAACGTTCGTTTGTGTACACGCTACGAACGTAAATTACTCTCGTACAGCATCGCGATGTTCTTTCAACATGAACCGCTTGAAACATATCGTCTTTAAACCGTAAACGATCGTCTACCGGAAAAAAGGGCGAATTTAGTATCAACAGAGATGTCCCACTGTGTACCACGGTTGTATTAGAATAACATAATGCAATTATGATCGTCTGCAGTGCGATCTTGCTGCGTGCCACGCGGGTGATTTGAATTATGTTTCTTAACTCATCGGGCGATCGATTTAATGACTTAATGAACACTATGAATTAAAAACCGCAGCACCACTTTATTAAAATCTTTACTAGTGAACTGCGACAGTGAATTAATGTGTACAGTGAGTACGATAAAAACCTCCAGCAACCAGGTACACTATTTAATGTATGATTGGAATTATGGATATTGACAAATTCAACCGTGGAAACAGTGATCGACCGTTTGGAAACCTCATCAATCATCTTCGACCTCATCACAATCATGGAACATAATACGAGTAATAACTTAAAAGGGATGCATGATGCAAGCTACTCGACACTCTTTGGGGGTTTATTTTATGCAATGACGATTGACGGTATGGATGCATTCGAATAATTTAATACTCAACAAGCTTGTATCTTCTATTCTATTTTAACAGTTGAATACGTTTCAATGTGTATGATGAAATCTTTGTACGTATTACATTATTATTATATTGTATCAAAATGATAAATTGTACAAAGAAGTATTTCTTTGTACAGAGTGAATACAGAGTATTCTGTTGAATGCTGAATTCGTTATAAGTGAAAAATGTTTTTATCATCAAAAGAAACATACGATTTTGAAGAAAAAAAAAAGACGAATAATAGATTAGATAATAAAATAAATAAAAATTTGAGATAAAAGAAAAATATCATAGAAAAATAAATTATGTACGAATAATGATGACATCAGTCAGGTCTTAATTTCGATAAAATCATAGTTATTAAATGTATTTTTATTTTTTTGTAACTGTCGTCAACCCGGGGTGAATAATTATCATTTCATATAAATATGTCATAATTATTATCAAAGTTATTATTCACAGTTCATCATACTATTATCAGTATATTAAATAATTAAATACACAACAAAATAAAAAGAAAAAACACAATTAATTCCATGAAGGTTACAACGTAAATAGTAATTATATTTATAGTTCAAAAAAGGTTTGTTTATCCGTTAAAAAAAAAAATTGTTCGTAGAAGAACTTTACAATGTGATTGTGACTGTCTAATATTTATGAATAATGGTTGTAATGAGAAAAAGGCTAACTCCAATCATAAGTTTGGCCACTTTTCAAATAGTCATTCAAACATTGTACCTATATAATCAAATATACGATTAGATTGCATAAAATGTTTGCGCGACAAACAGACAACGGATGAAAAATAATTGAAAACAAATTATTAAACATTAAATTTAATTCTTAATTTGAAAATTCACGTCAGGCCTCCCCGTTGTAATGAAAAAAACAAACTGTTTTATATTTAAACACTCATAATTTTTTTATTTTACATTCAATTAATTATTTTTCTCTCATCAGTAAAATATAAGAATGCAGAACTTTGTATTATAATTTTCAAAAATTTTTATTGGACCAAAATTGTTTTTTTCGAAATTTTCAAAAAATCTAAGAAACATGAACATTTCAATTTTCTATAAATAGTTAAAAATAAAATTTGATACATATACCATCTATAACAATCGGTAAAAGTATTTAGTAAAAAACCATATTTAATCGTATATTTTGCGGTATTTATATGATTTAATTATTAATTAATAACATAAAGATAAAGATAATTAATTAATAACATAAAGTTCTGCCTGGTTTTTGGAGGAGGAAAGCTTTGAATGCTTTTGAGAGGGCTTAGACCCTCCAGGCCCCCTTAATTGCTCCTATTCTGTCGACCGTTTCATGGCTTGTATTTCCAATCAAGCCCAGACTTGGGTGTACGATGGATTCACTCAAAACACCCGTTTCCCTGGATGACAGCATAATCCCCCGTTCCTCTTGGTCAATGTTTCGTCCTCGCTCATGTTACTGTAAAACGCTTGTATCATTATATTATAGCCTTCGTGATGTACATGATATCATGTACTGTACTCGTGCGTTTACATGAATAGAAGTTGTCCGATGCGCGACCCTGCCGCCTAGCTTAGGGTTACCAGATTATATTTTTCTGAACCCGGGACTTTTTGAATGGATAAATATTATACATATATAATATTATAAATATATATACATCGCCATACGAAAAAAGAAAATATATATATATATTTTAATGAATTATGTATAGAAGCAATATAATAATAATAATAATAATAATAATCATCATTATAATAATTCATATTCTTAGTCTTTGAATTTTTTGGGGTCCAGAATTTCTTCTGTTGATTTTACTATATATTTGAGTGATCCACAAACTTGTTTTAATGAAGACTTGTTTCCCAAACTTTGGTTGTAGAATTCTTCATAAGATGTATTATTGAAGCACGTTTTTATAATATACCGTTTTTATATGTAGTTATAATCTTGAATTTGTCCATGTGCTGTTCATCAGAGCATTTGAATCCGATAAAACAAAAATTAATTCAACAACTTTTAATAGCTCAGAAAACGCATGATTGTTATCAGTAAACATTTTGAAAATATATGTCCAATTATTTTCTATTTTTTGACAATGCTACTCGTCATTTTGTTTCAAACATTTTGAATTGTTCGAAAAAACATTTATTCATCAAAATTATGATTGTTTGACATTATAGCGTTTATAAAGATTACTGATTTTTTGTTTTTTTTCCCAATTTAACATTGTCTTTGGGGCCAATGTTATCCATAACATTGATTTTAAATTAGTTACATGTTGATTTGAATTATTCCATTTTTTTAAATAGTTGTAACACAGTACATAAAATTCATCACATTAACTTTCAAAATTAGTTTTATCGATAATTCCTCGTCCTCAAATTTTGTTACGAGATTTTCAATTTCTACCTTGAGAAACCGATCCTTTCTTTTGTTTTCAATTTTCTTGATATTTTATTGAGTAAAATTTTGAAACCGGGACAAATCGCTGTCCTGAAACACTTTTTCGGGACACCGGGACACTTGGTTAAAAACCGGTAGTGTCCCGGTAAAACCAGGACGTATGACAACCCTAGCCTAGCTTTATATGAATACGGATGTGCAACCATAGGACAGGTAGGGCCACAATGCGATGTCCTTATGGTAGAGGTTTTTTTTTCTGAACGTCTTACAGTTATCGAATTGGTTTTGTTTTACCATAAGATTTGGACGGGGTGGTCTCTGCGAATCCACCCCGACAATGTGGGCGCCTACGTCACGTCCTTGAGCACTAGGAGAACACGCACAGTCCGTTCGCAACACAAACGGGTGAAATATAATAAGGGCAAAAAGTCTATGCGATTACTACGGTTTTCCGAGCATCACGTTGTATCATGTTTCAGGTACAATCGAAAGTGTTACGTAATCATAAAATCGCTATCGGAACGATTCGCACGTCGCAGTTTCGGTCATTCTACATCACCGGACTCGGCGCATACACCCGCACACACGTGAATTATGGAAATATTGATGACACCATGCGCCAAGTGTTACAAAAACGATTAGACCCATTCTTGCGATGACGCGTACGACGCGAAAACGAAAAAATCGTAAACATGCACATACTCCACGAGACATGACGTGTTCGACAATCCGGTTATAACATAAATAGGCACGTGTACCTAACCGCTAAACAACTGAATAATATATACATCCGTTTCGAAAACATGTGTTATAATATAACGACTGTTACGTCTTTCCTCACCCATCCCATCGGATACCGCACCGCGAGTTTCTCGTGAGTGTTGATTTTTTCGCTCGGGGAAAAAAAGAAAAGACGAAAAAAAAAAAAAATGATTATAATAATAGAAGGAAAAAAAATGTTACACAATCGTGGCGTGCGCGTTTCGCACAATCGGTTACTCGCCAACGATGACGTGTTCGCTTTTATACGGACACATTATATTGCTCGTGTATAAATGCGCGTGGTATACTACGTTGGAGGCGGACGCGCATTGCTGAAAGAGCATAACCGTGTCTTTTACACACCAACGGTATTTTTTTCCGGAATAAGCCGTGGGCCACTGGGTGAACAAAACGTAGCAAAACCTTATTAGCCGTTCAAGAGACATTTGACCGAAGGGATTACGATTCGTATCCGGTGCAGGTACGCTTAACGGTAAGATTGGGAAGAATCAGAAAATGAATCAGTATAATATTACATTGAAAGGGAAATGTGCAAGATTCAACGTCGTCAAACGCGACTAATGAAAAACTGAGACACTGCAGACGAATGCATCGGTCATGACTTTACACGTATGCTTCACGTAAAAAGGTTTTCGTCGTCAGTGTGCGCATGCAATGCATGGCGATTTTTACGCGTGAAATATTTAACATAACTGTGTCGGTTCGACTAACACTGTCCGACGCGGTTTTATCGCGTTTTTCCAGTGCGTTATCGGCCTCGGGTATACACTACGGATCAGGCACGAACGTAGGAGAAGAAAGTGGTTCGGGGTTGATCCCCCTGAAATATCAGAAAAAAATGTTATGAAAACATGAAACGACCAACAAATGTAATATTTGGTATTTTAAAATACCCTACGAGATTTACAAATACATTTTTTAAATATATATATATTATATATTGAGTAATAAAGCATGTTGTTTATCGAAATTGTACATTTTTTTCAACCCCCATTCCCCTAATTGTTTTCCCGTATTCAGCTCTGCTACGGGTACATATACCCAGACTCACCGACTTCAGACTTGGTGACCAGGAACCACGTCTGTGAATCCGGCCCCATAGGCACTTTGATATGCTGTTGCACGTCCGCCAGCGAACGTGGTCTCGGCGTCACGTGGTTCAAGAAATCGGACACGGAACCTGGCAGAAACTGTTCGTCCGGTGCCAGCCATATGAGCGGTGCCCAGCGACGAACAATCTTCTCAGCTGAAAAACAAAAACAAACGGTTGTGAATAAACGGTCCACGAATTATGTAAAAAATAATATTATATGTATACATATGTGTAATGTAAGATACTGCACGATTGCGACGCGACACACGATACAAACCGACTGTAAATTATAATTTTAAAAATGACATGGCATCAAATTTTAAAACGTGCATTTAATTTGAAGTACTTCGAAATGTATATTCGCCTAAACACAAAAGGGTTATTTGTTTTGTAAATTTTGCATTTTATTCAAACCTATTGTGCGCAGAGGTAAACAAGGTTCTTTTATTGTTAGACCATTCACAACATTTTATTAGATTATTGAAGAGTCAAAAAAACACAGTGATACATAATGATTCAAAAGTTACAGATAGATAGTATTCAATATACTAATACAATTAAAAAAAAAAAAAAAAAAAAATGTTATTCAGCAAATTAATTATACAGTATATAAAGAAGTAGAAGATAATTGAAAAAAATTGAGACCAATCATAAAATCAATATTGTTTTGTGAGCAACATTATATCGTTCTTTTAGGAAACACTGCTGATAAAGGTAATTTTGGTGATTTATTGAAATTTCGGATTGATTCAGGTGATAATATTTTATCGAACCATTTTGACACAATCTCTGGGAAATCCAAATATGTACGACATAGAATTCAAAATGAAATTATTAAAGTTTGTGGTCAAGTAATTTGTAATGATATTGTATCCCAAGTCAATAATTTAGTTGCATTTTTTTTACTGGATGATGGAAATAGCAGATATTCCAGAAAAGTAACAGTCATCTATTGGTGTAAAATATATTCATATTAATCATATAGTGCATGAGAAATTTATTGGTGAAATGCATGTTTTAAATGCAGAATGTGTATTAAGAAATATAATAGAATCAACAGAAAAAATATGGTTTAAATACGTTGAAACTTATTGACCTAGGGTTTGATGGTTGTTCAACCATGAATGGTAAAGAAAATGGTCTACAGGCAATTATACAAAAAATATATCTAACTGCTTATTATATTCGTTGTGCTTTCTTAAGTTAACGATCAAAATTCAATTCCTGAAATCAGAAATACTATTGGTACTGTAAAATAAATAATTAAGTTTTTTAGAGAAAATATTTTGAGAAAAAATTTATTCCAAATATTTTATTATCTTGTGAGATACGTTGGTTAGAAAAGTACAAATGTATACATTTGATAAAAATTTCATTGAAATCAAAACTGTTGTAGAAAAATTATCTATTAGTTCAGAACCTAATGCTATTACAACAAATTATGCATTCCAACTTTCATCAGCCGTATCAAATTGTAATTTTTTGATTAGTTAAAAAGTAATTGCTTATTATTCTTCTGTTCTAAAACCAGTTGTGTCCAAATTATAATGTACAAGTGTTAATTTCCATTCTATTCATACATTTATTAAAACTGAACTTCTTGGAATAAACATAAAGCATCTTCTTCTTTCTTTCTGTGCCTTCATAACTCTGTAAGAGTTTTGGCTGCCACTGTCACTGTTCTCCAATAATCACGATCCTGTATCCTCTCCTCCCAATTTGTTACTTCTAACCTCTCTAGATCTTGTTGCACTCCATCCATCCATCGTTTCTTCGGTCTGCCTCTAGGTCTTCTGCCTGCTGGCTTGTATTCAATTGCTGCTCTGACTTCATTTGTTTCGTCTCGTCTCATTGCGTGTCCAAACCATTGTATTCTCTGTCCCTTTATATGACTTGTTATGGGAGGTACTTAGGTGATTTCTCTTATTTCTTTGTTTTTTCTTCTACGCCACCTGTTTATTTCAGAATCAAAAAACGGTCCACATATTGTTCTTAAAACTCTATTCTCAAAACTTCTGAGTTTTTGTTCGATTTGTACTGTCGTCGGCCATACCTCACATCCATAGGTTAGCGTTGGTCTTACAATGCTTATATATAGTCGTACCTTTGTTCCTCTAGAGAAAAGTTTTGATTTAAAAAATTTTATTAGTGAGAAGAAAGTTATTTCCGCTTTGAGCAAGCGACTAGTTATTTCAGTGTCCCAGTCATTGTTACCAGTGATTGTTACACCTAGGTATTTGAAGCTATGTGCTTTCTTAAATACGTAATTATCTACTGTAAGATCTTCCTCATCTTTTTCAGGCAACGTTTCCATTATTTTTGTTTTTTCCTCATTTATTTCTAGACCAATCTTTTTTGCTTCCTGTATGAGTGTTTTGGTATTTCGCACAATCATTTCCTTGTTTTCTCCTACTAAATTCAGATCGTCTGCAAAACCTAATACGTCTAGCGTGGTTTTGCCAATATTAATTCCGAGTTTATTACTTTGTACACTGCGTATTACTTTTTCTAATGCTATGTTGAAAAGTATTGGCGACAGTGCGTCACCCTGCTTGAGCCCTGTTATCACTTCAAATTCTTCGGACAATGTACAATCCACTCTAACTTGATATCTTGTTCCGTTCATACACATTTTTGTCAGTGATATGAGTTTTATAGGAAAGCCGAACTCATACATTATATTGTATAAGCTGTCACGATGTATGCTGTCATAGGCTTTTTTGAAATCTACAAATACTTGCCATATGTTTTGCCTGTACTCGTATTTCTTTTCTAGGAGCTGCTCTATAGTTGCGAGTTGGTCTATTGTGGATTTGCCTTTCCGAAAGCCACACTGATAGTTTCCTATACACTCTTCAGCCAGTGGTTCTAATCGTCCTAATAAAATTTTTGAAAAAACTTTATATACTGTATTTAATAACGATATCCCCCTATAGTTGTTGCAGCTCATCTTATCTCCTTTTTTATGTACCGGGATGACTATAACCTTGTTCCATTCTTCAGGTAGTATTTCCTCATTCCATATGCGATTGCATAACTCATAAATCGTTTTGTGCAGTTCTAAGCCACCATACTTTATAAGCTCAGCTGGTATCCCGTCTGACCCGGGGGCTTTCCAGTTTTTCAGTCGGTTTATGGCTCTTAATGTTTCATCCAATGATATATCCTTAACTTCTTGTTCAGCTCTCTGATCTTCCCATGCTGGTATTGGTGTAGCTGGTATCTCTCCATTCAACAGCTCTTCGAAATACTCTTGCCACCTCGATGCTTTCATTTGCGGGTCCAATAATATTCTATTATGTTTATCTTTTATGGCTTTTAATGTTGGGTTGTACTTTTGGTGTCTTTTTATTGCTGTAAAGAAATTTCGGACTCTTCCTTGTGTGTAATCCTGCTCTGTGTTATGTATGATCTCGTTCATATACTTTCTTTTTTCCCTCTGTATAACTTGTTTGCATCTCTTTCGTTCTGTCTCAAATAGTTCTTTGGATTCTGCTGAAAGATTTCTCAGATAATTTTGACGGTAATCATTTGTTTTTTAGTACTGCATTTTGGCATTCATTGTTATACCATTTCTTTGCTTGCTTTCTGGCTTCGCCTAGTGTTTTTCTTGCAGCTTCGATTATAGTATTTCTTATAATAGTCCACTTACCACTTGTTTCCAGCTTGTCCGTTTGGTTTGCCCTTAACTTTTCTGTGAGCGATTCTACGTATTTTTGATTTTCTCCTTCTTCTCTAAGCTTCTCTATATTGTATTTTGGTATTCTATTATTTGCTTCTTGAACCTTCTTCAGCTTAATTCTGAATTTCGTAATGACCAAAAAATGATCTGAGTCACAGTCCGCTCCTCGATAGCTTCTTATATCCGAAATACTTGATTTGAATCTTTTGTCAATGACCACGTGGTCAATTTGGTTAAATGTGTTTCCATCAGGTGATTTCCACGTATATTTGTGGATATCCTTGTGTGGAAAGAAAGTGCTGCTTATGGTCATGTTCCTTGAGGTTGCAAAAGCTATACTTCTCTGGCCATTATCATTGCTTTGTTCGTGAGCGCTGTGTAATCCAATTGTAGGTCTATAGATGGTCTC